TAGGAATGTTGAGGAATTAAGTTTGAATTTTGGCCTAGGGGGTGTTTGCATTGCTCGTTTCCTTCAAACCTTTTCTATGAATTGCTAGCATGAAATGGTTTTATTTCTCATGTCCATGGCTTGTTTTAATCTGGTGTTTACAATGAGGGGGCTGGTGTGCCACTCCGAGCCAGCTTTGAGTGAAAGGATGTATAAACCATGTTCAATTAATTGTTTAAAAGGCTTAAATTTTGAGCAGAGTTGGACCTGATGGCTGTTGCAAATGGATATGCCAAATCAGGTAGAAAAAGAGTACATGGAAGTAAGCAACCCCAGTGAAAATTTGGGGGAATAAAGATACCAACTTCAGAAACTTTAGTTGGGGAGAAGACAAATGGTTCCTTACTGTCTGACTTTTTGTTGTTGCACAGGTCTCCTTGGCAACAGTTGATGATGAGCCAGAAATGGTTCTCAGAGTTGAAGGTGACACTAACGGATCCAGCCTGGCAGTCTGTGCGATTAGAACAGAGTTTGACAGTCTCTGTGGTTTTATTAGACACTGGTGAAGAAGATGCAGATAAAAGAGGTTTGGTTAAATTAGGTAATACCTTGCTGAAAATTTCTTTGGTAAAATGACTGAAAGCATCATCAATTTCCACTGCAAGCTAACCTGGACGATAACACCCAAAGTTGCTCTTTTTTTTCTTTCTTTCAAGAGGCAACTGGACTTTCTGGATTTTCTTTGAAGATGTTTCGCTTCTCATCCAAGAAGATTTTTCAGCTCTGACTGAAATCCTTCCATTCCCCACCAATCCAATCAGAACTGAAGAAGCTTCTTGGATGAGAAGCAAAACGTCTAAAAAGAAAAAAGAGAAAGCCAAGTTGCCTCTTGAAGAAAAAAACAAGCATTTTTGGGACAACCATAATCTGGATGACTGAGAATCTCCATAGTCATCTAGACAGTGACACTAAGTGGGAAAAGAAGGATGGGAGCAGGGAACTCTGCCACTTGTCTATTATTTCTCCCACCGTCGGGATGGGGAATAATGGAAATTATTCCTCACTGTATCTGGAAAGCACACATTGAAGAAAGGGGCCGTAGTAGCCCCACTGCTTTTTTGACCCTTCAAAGCTCAGTACAGTATTCAGAAACTGGAGAGACATTTCTGCTTTTCTAGATTCAGAATAATGGGGTTCTAGGTATTCAAAAAGGAAGTCTAGCGATGATCGATTTTGAAGGAAGATATATGGGTGGTGCACAAGAATATAATATGCTTAATTTGAATATTTAGGCATATACATATACCCCTTACATAGGTATATATTGATTTCTATTCCACTTCACCTCTGTAATGCAGATATTCTATGCCATTATAATACTTCCTATACCGATCATCACAGATTGGGGGCATGAAACACAAGGGGATGTGCAAGACTATTCATTAGGGTACCGGAAGAAAATAATAGGATATCTATTGTTATTTATTTATTCCAATCCTTTAAAAAAACTATTTTGGGGAATATTTACATATTCAACTAAAATGGCCTCCCACCTCAGTCAATCGATCAATCTTTGGTCATTAGACCAGCAGAACTGCCCATCTCATGTTAATGACTCTGAGTGGCTAGCAATATTTGTGTTTGTGTGTGTGTGTGTGTATGGAAAGGCAAGGGTCTTTCTGTTTTCATATAAATACACACACACACACACACACACACACACACACGTTACAAAGCTGAAGAGCCAGCGCTGTCCGATAACATCTCTGTGGTCATGTGGCCGGCATGGCTAAACACCAAAGACTCATGGAACGCTGTTCCCTTCCCACCAAAGTGGTCCCTATTTTTCTATTTGCATTTTTACTCGCTTTCGAAGCTGGGACAAGTAATGGGAACTCACTCTGTTACGCAGCACTAGGGATTCGAACTGCTGATCTTTCTGATCGACAAGCTCAGCGTCTTAGCCACTGAGCCACCATGTCCTACCCATCCCCAAAGTTTGGTGACAGAACCAGGTGTCAGAAACCTTGATGTTGTTGTTGTTAGTTGCAAAGTCATGTCTGACCTATCACAACCCCATGGACAACATTCCTCCAAGCCTTCCTGTCCTCTACCTTTTTCTGGAGTCCATTTAAGCTCACCCCGACTGCTTCAGTGACTCCATCCAGCCACTTCATTCTCTGCCTTCTCCCCTTCTTCCATTCCCCTCAATCTTTCCCAGCATTAGGCTCTTCTCCAGTGAGTTCTTCCTTCTCATTAGGTGGCTGCCAAAGTATTTGACTTTCATCTTCAGGTTTCATCTTCAGGTCAGCAACCTTATGGAAGGCCAAACAGCGTTGGGGCCAACTGGACCTCCATAGGATATTATAGTTCAAAGGGTGGGCAGTATGTTTTGCAATGTTTAAAATATATAAAAATGCATAACTGTGGTACGTGTCAAGCAATTTCAACCAAACTTGGTACACAGATGACTTACTCTCTGGAAACAAATACTGTGGGGGTAAGATACCCCTAACACCCCACGGGGGGGGGGGGGTTGATCTGTGAAGATACAGCCTAGAGCCCAGTGGAGTTGCCATGGTAACAGCTTCACAGTACTCCACAAGGGGGCGTTTGTAAGGGGACCTGCCTGCACCGCTAGGAGATCCCCTCAGGACCTACATCACACAGATCACAATCAGGGCTCAGGGAGAAGTTGCCCTTGCAATCGCTTCTTCAAGAATTGTGGAGAAGTTAATGGAAGGAGGGAGGACAGCCCATGCTGCACTGACATTGCCGCTTGCCATCTGCCATTCCTGTCTAATAGAGGATTGGGATAAAGAAGTACCCAGGCAACAGCCGGGTTATCAGTTAGTGGATCAATAAATCAATATATTGGGAAGACCTTCTCCAACGTTTTGGTGATAAGATTGCCCAGTTGAAAAAAAAATTTTGGAAACCAACCACTCTCCCATCTGCTCTTCTGGGAACTTAGATCTCTTAACTCCCTCTGCTGGTTCAAAGCAAGTCTTGAGATCTTTTACTCACACAAGGTATTTATTCCTACAGCAGAAAAGCAGGTATCTTCAGTCGCTTCACAGGTGCGGCTCATGCCAGCGCAGTCTGCACCTGGACCTCTACAGGTCACACAGATCAAACAGGAACCTGGAGAAAACAACAGAGATGAGCTGTGGCTTATTCAATAACCTATGATGGAGAAACTAGGCTTCACTGAATACATCTCATTATGCAGAGTGGTGGTTCTTAACCTTTGTGTTCTTAGGATTCCCCCTTCCTGGTTTTAAAAATGATGAAGACCTTTCAAGGAGCTTTGGCTTGCATGGGTTTTATCTTTATTGATATTTACCATATGAAAATAGATACATTTTTAGAATAGTTATTGAATCATGTAAAAGCAGCAATATTGAACCCATGAGATCTTAAATAAATAAAAAAAATTCATGAAAAAAAGTTATTTTTAAACAAAAAAAAATGGGTTTGAGAGGTCCTCAGCCGGTGTGGAGAAACCATAGATCACAGTTTCATCAGAATGAGAAGATGTAGGAAATCCAATTAGAGTTCCTGGCCTTCATCAAATGAGGTTGTCCATCTTTAGTAGCCCTGCTTGAATCCACACTCAGACTAACAGAGTAACAGAGTTGGAAGGGACCTTGGAGGTCTTCTAACCAATCCCCTGCTCAAGCAGGATCCTCTCTACCATTCTAGACAAGTGTCCAGTCTCTTCTTAAAAGTCTCCAGTGATGAAGCACCCATAACTTCTGAAGGCAAGCCATTCCACTAGTTAATTGTTCTGTCAGGAAATTTCTCTTACTTCTAGGTTGCTCCTTTCTTTGTCTAGTTTCCACCCATTGTTTTTGTCTTGCCTTCTGGTGCTTTGGAGAATAGGTTGATCCCCTCTTCTAACCTATGGCCTCTAGAGCAAGGTAAAAATATGCAAGGATACAAGCACACCTCCAAGAATGGATGCATCCATCTTGCCTTTACTCTAGTTGTAAAGCAGAAAGACTGCAGTGCCCATAACTGGCTCAAAGCAAGCTTACCTTGAGTTAGGAGTGTAGCCAGAAGGAAACTGAGGCTGGACAAAGATGCCATGATGTTGAATCTTGTAATCTGCAGATCCGTAGATTCTAAGGTGGAAGCTGGGGAATATATACTGGACCAGTTACATAAGGGGGAGGGAGGGAGGGAGGGAGTAAACAGGATTGGCTTGAGAGGCACTAAAAACCTGGGCAACCCCCCTCTGCTCTCTTCACAGCTGATTTCCTTGTCTGCTGATGGCCTCAAGAGGCCCCTTTGTGTGCCAGGTGACTGTACGCCCCTCGCCAAAAGGAGCACAACCAACATCATTTTCTGAAATGTCTCTTGTGGTTGGCAAGGGAGGGAGCCAAGGTGTTGCGTTTTAATTCAGGGAATATAAAATGAAAGCCAGAGAAAAGAGGAATGCTTCCTTATCTAAAATCTAAAAGCCACTTCACATTTTCTCCAGAATGAATGACCCCATTTTCATTGGGACCAAGTCCTGGTCATCTAAATTTTCACTGCAGCTTGGCACAGAGGGTGGGTGGGGGAGAACAGCCATCTGGATGCCAAGATTGCAATCATTCAGAACCACCTCTTCAAATTGCTTTTATTTCCAAGAGTAACAAAATGTGTATTTTTGTACATGTATAAGGGGGTGGAGGTTCATTGTGAATCTGGGGGCAAGCAGGCTTCTTAGCAGGTGCTGAGAGCCTTCCTTGTAGGGTTTAGTTTTCAAGATTTTGGCCACTATTTTGCATCCTGATGACTGGATAGTCCTAGGGTTGTGGCTAGTTATTCCCAGTTGGAAATGGCCGGTGTATCCACGGCATGATCCCTTCTGTAACTGCCCATTAGGCAGTTCAAATTGTCACCTTTTGCACTGGGTGAATAAGTTCAATGTAAAAAGAACTTCTGGGTATATAAAATTTACCATGGTGTTAACCAACCATGAAATGGCTTCACACCTAATAAAGGGATTCAAACAAACCCACATCTTAAGCATGGTGGTTAAAGAAATTCCAAGAGTGTCTGAATCCAAAGAGAGGTAACACTGACTTCTGAAAAAAAGACGTGTGTTTCTAGACCAGGTTTGGAGAGGAAATAATATTACTGCTGTAGCCACACTACGCAATAGGATGCTCCTCTCAGACTTGAGCATTAATGAACGGTTGCGAGGTCCCAAAAGTCTCAACATTAATTAAAATTCAAAAACATTATGACTCCTATATTGGGACATTTTGAGATCACAGCATCCATTTTAAGTTATCAATTATGATTTGCTGATGGTTCACCCAATATACTAAACCTGAATAAAACAAACCACATTTTAGTGTGTGTCCCTATAACAATTTTAAAGGCATTCTTGA